CTGTGCGGACATGCCTGAGTAGGAATAAGATAATAAGTCTATTTCGAGCAGCATTGCACCCCGGGTTGACGTCAGGTGCTGCCACGAAGACTGACTTATCGGAACTGGCGGGTGCTTAAAAAAGACGAGAGATTCACTCCTCCATCCAATGCTTAGAGACCTCGGAGTCTCTGTTTTGCCAAAGGCACAAGTACAGATTGGGCGAAACCTGGCTCAAAAACAGTAACTGGGAGAGGGACCTTGGAGTCCTAGTGGACGATCCTTTAAACATGAGCCAGCAGTGTGCGGCAGCAGCCAAAATAACTAACACAATACTTGGTTGTATAAACAGAGTCATAGAATCAGAATCGTGTGAAGTATTAGTACCGCTTTATAAAACCTTAGTACGACCACAGCTGGAATACAGCACCCAGTTTTGATCACGACGTTACAAAAAAGATGTTGAGACTTTGGAAAAAATGCAAAGAAGAGCAACTAAGATGATTAAGGGCCTGGAGACAAAAACCAAGATTAGTGAATATATGAATAGCAGTTACAATATCTAAATGGTGGTTTCTGTTTATATTTTTGACTTAAATATAAAGGCTGCATGGACCTCAAGGCAGTTTATGTAGGGCCACCTGAACGTCCTACCAATACTGTGGTTGACTTAGCAAAGGTGGTATATCATGTACCCCCAAATGCTGCCTTTTGGTACCTTTTACTTTAGTTCATGGTTCTCACTTGTAAAATTCTGAAGTTGTTAAGTAATGCTTTGGAAACAGCATTTCTAGTCTTGGACACTTTTACCTAAAAATAAAAAGATCCACTGATTTTAATGAAACGTGTGCATAGACCGGTTTAGTGAAATGTGTGTTCAGACTTGCTAAATCCAAAGACTTGATCCAAGGACTCATCGACAATATTCATTCACTGGCATATCCTTTCTTCTCCTCTCTCAATTACCCACCTCACAAAGTCTAATTGAATGTCTTCTAATCATCTGAAAAAGTTTGCGAGAAGTTACACAATGGTCAAGTAGTTACTCTCTTGTCTTTGACTAACTGAATATTGAAAAATTACATTTGCCCTAACAGAACTCCCAAGAGGACATAAAGCTAATAAAAGAGCTCAGGGCTGAACTATGGAGTCCTTCATGGTTGTTTGCTTGCAGACATTTCGTTACCCAGCTAGTTAACATCATCAGTGTTAGTGAGTGAAGGGTTTGTATATAGTAGCTAACCCTTCCGCGGTTGGTAAGGGATGTGGTTTTCTATTTATTACTTGGTCTTCTGCATCGACGTGTCAAAACACCTTTTTAGCATCCCAAGTATTAAATGGTAGATACCATGCTTAAAAGGTGTTTATAGTGAAATGTTCACATCGAGGACCTCATTTTTGCACCCGGGGTTAATTATGCCGATTAAATGAATCCATATGCATGAGAATGTTGCCTTTATGGTTGAGTATCATAATAATTAGATACATGAAAAACATCTTGTGGGAATTGTTTACTATTAATTGTGTTTTGGAAGATGGCAACAATTTCAGCATGTCCTAGAATTTCCAATACCCCCATTCATTACCGTAGAATCTCAGTGTGGATCCTGAGTGTCCTTTATGACTCAAATAATTCAGATTATTATTTTCTTTTTTTGAGAAGTGTATAGTGAATTGGAAATCTTTGCCTCGTGCCTGCATGCAACAGAAATACTGTTAACGATAGAAATCAAGCGATAGATATTATTGTGTGATTAGCTCGTGCATTGTTTAGTTATTTGTAAATAATACTAAGTGTGCATAAAATCCTGGTAGCAATACTAGTCCCATGGATATCTTTTCCTTTTCTATCTTTGCTCTTTCCAACTCAGTGCTGTTCCTTCAGATTGTCAGCTGAGCTGTTCCAAATCCAGGCATTCCGTTTTTTCTTGGTCCTGTTCCTGGCAGTTTCTTTTTAGCTCAAATGTTGGGAACTCAACCTTGGAGTTTTCTGTCCCCAAAATATGTGCTTCTGCCATCAAGCTATGTATTTATTTACTATATTTATATCCTGTGCCTTCAGCAGCGCAGTGTTCCTGAGACAGCCTACAATTAAAATGAAATTAAAAAACAAACACACAAAACTAAAGAAAACAGCAATAAAAATCCAGCAGATGAAACGCGCCCCGGGGATGGGGGTGGGATGGGGTTCCGCTAGATATCCTCAATTGTGGTGAGCAGAAGCGGTTGGAATCGAGAACGAACAGAGAGCCAGTATGGCTTGAAGCTGTGAGAATTGTCGTTCCCATCATAGGTCAGCAATACAAGATGATGCAAAAGCATTTTCTTTAGAGGAAGCAAAGTGCATTAATATTATCTCTGGAGCTTCTAAATCAGTGTTTCCCAACCTTGTAACTTTCAGCTGCCTGGACTTGATCTTTCTAAGATTTCCCAGCCAGCATAGCCATACAGAGTTCCTCCGGAGCAGCAAAGCAGAGTTTATAATGGCCTTGCCAGCTTTGAAGCCTTAAACCAGGGGTAGGCAACCTTGGCTCTTTTATGACTCGTGGACTTCAGCTCCCAGAATTCCCGAGCCAGCGATGCCAAAGTTTCCCTCATGCTGGCTCAGGAATTCTGGGAGTTGAAGTCCACGAGTCATGAAGGGGCCAAAGTTTCCCTCATGCTGGCTCAGGAATTCTGGGAGTTGAAGTCCACGAGTCATGAAGGGGCCAAAGTTTCCCTCATGCTGGCTCAGGAATTCTGGGAGTTGAAGTCCACGAGTCATGAAGGGGCCAAAGTTTCCCTCATGCTGGCTCAGGAATTCTGGGAGTTGAAGTCCACCAGTCATGAAGGGGCCAAAGTTTCCCTCATGCTGGCTCAGGAATTCTGGGAGTTGAAGTCCACGAGTCATAAAAGAGCCAAGGTTGCCTACCCCTGCCTTAAACTGATGCTTTCAGAGACCATCACATTTCTTCTTTCAGAAGTAAGAGGACACAGCAAGTTATTTGAGATCCAGGCCTTTAGGATTGGAAGCTCGATGGTGGTGGCTTGGCATAAATTAGCAAGGGAAATGTTGCTAGAAATAAAATCCAAACATTATTTCCAACTGATGTTACCTTTGAGATGTGCTTGGCTTTGAAACTGGCGGAGCATGTGGAATCACCTTAAAAACGGAGAAGGAAATGGAAAGAAACAAAACGGGCGTGCAGCAGACGGGGTTCAAAAATCTGTGTGTGCAGATGCGGGAGATCATTTTCGGCCTGAAGACTTTAATGGCTTATGGCAGAAATCTGAAAAGGGGAAATTGAAAGATAGATTGGTCATTTCCCATCCCATTCCAGTGTTCTTCGCTCTGAATTAGACGGCCGAAAGTTTGGAAAACTCACACTCCAAGTTTGATCTTATTCGTGGGATGGTTGTGAAAGGGAACATACGCTCTTGAGATCAGTTGGAAGAAAATCAAGAAATTGTCTCCTCACCTTTTGGTAGACCTGGCTGAGTGCTTTTCTTTCACACCTTTTTATGGGAAGACAAGAACACCCAAGCAGGGAGATATTAAAACAAACAAAACTGCATTTCAATATGAGCCCGTCTTGACAGTATGATGCTTCTAGCAATTTAATCAAGATGGGTTTAGAACGCTGGAACACACTAAATATTACAAATTACTGAAAGCGTTATTAGTCATTCTTTTGATTCTTCTTCTGTAGGCAAACAAGAGCAGGGAAATATATGCAAACAACAATGAGAGCAATATAGATCAAAGCAATTACAATGATCATAGTTAGAGATGCTGCTTGAAGCGTCATGGACAATACTGTTATTTGTTCCCAGTCTTGCAGGGAAGATTCATACTTCAGTTTCAAGCACAAGAGGTTGAACTTTGGCTAGGTCTTGGCTAAGCCAAAAAAGCTCTAATCAAATGGATCAAACAAGGACAGATTCTTTTAATAGGACAAATAAGAGCAACTGTCCAGAGTTCTGAAAGTTGGGGTCATCTCTACTAAATCCATTCAGGCAGAACAACTTCATATTTCAGCCGTTAAATTGAGCAAGAAAAGTAAACCAGAAAAGTAAAGGCACGATTGCTTATAGTTAAGTTACAAGGCCTTCCTGGTTATTTAACCAACCGTTGTTTTAAACTGTTCAGAAACCAAGCGTCACCACTGTCTCTGGTCTTAGCAGCGCCCCAAAAGTGAAAATGATGCTGGCTTGGATTTATGTGTAACTTCCTGACTTTTCTGCCTTAAATGTCAAATAGCTTCTAGGTCAGAAGAGAGGGATTAACCCAGCCCAGGATATTTGGGGCAGGTTTGTTGCAAATGAGCTTCTTAGTTATGCATTAAATGCAGCTCCTTGTTCCTGATTCTACTAACTCTTTTGTAGATTCAAGGCTTGAAGTACATTAAGATTATAATATGATATCTACTCCAGGCATAGGCGACATATGGCTCCTTAGATGCTGAAGTCTAAGTGCAGTTGATACTGTGCAGTGGTGGGGCATGGTGGGAAATGAGGCCCAGCATCTAGAGAGCCCCTGATACATTGCTGACTATAGCCTAGCCCAGGGGTAGGCAACCTTGGCTCTTTTATGACTCGTGGACTTCAACTCCCAGAATTCCTGAGCCAGCCATGCTGAGGGGAAAGGGAGAGGTTTCCAAGCTGAGTCGTGCTGGCTCAGAATTCTGGGAATTGAAGTCCACGAGTCATGAAGGGGCCATAGTTCCCCCATGCTGGCTCAGGAATTCTGGGAGTTGAAGTCCACCAGTCATGAAGGGGCCAAAGTTCCCCCATGCTGGCTCAGGAATTCTGGGAGTTGAAGTCCATGAGTCATGAAGTGGCCAAAGTTTCCCTCATGCTGGCTCAGGAATTCTGGGAGTTGAAGTCCACGAGTCATGAAGGGCCAAGGTTGCCTATCCCTGGCCTAGCTTGTTCTTTCAGTTGGGAAAAAAAAATCCTGAGTGCATTGAGTAGATTTTTTTTTTTTTTGATAATTGCAGCCCTGGATGTTTAGCTGATTTGGATTTTTTTTCCTCTCACAGGTTGAGAGAGATTTTGAACGGGAATATGGAAAGCTTCAACAGTAAGTATTCTTAGCCATTTCATTTGGGTGGGTGTTCTTTCCTGGCTCTTTTCTCCTTAACGTTGCTTTCTTCCTTCCATTTATGTTTCTTTTCAGACTGACAGGCTCTCATAGCAGTTTGCAGAATAATAAGAAATTGCCTGTAATCCAAAAAGACATGATACCAGAAGAAAGGAAACAAGATAACTTAAGCACCAGTTCTTAATGTTTATTGTTCCTATAAAGGCTAGGTAGGATGGAAATGGGGCTACACAGAGAGAAACCTAGATGACACCTTCACCTCCAGAGTTGATGATCTTCTCACCAACAATTGTTGGTTTGTTTGTTTTATTTAATTAGCTACAGGACTTGTGTGGCCGCCTATCTCATACATTGACTCCAGGCAGTTCACAAATCCATAAAACATGGTTAAAAACAAAAGTACCCTTCCTCCAGGCACCAGACCAAGCCTCCTCACAGCTCAGCCACCATTTTAGCCCAATACTTGGGGGAAGAGCCAGGTATTTACAGCCTTCTGGAAGACTAAAAAGATAGAGGTGTTGCTATACTTATTAGTCCCTAAGACGATTTTGCAAAGTACAACATTTCTGCCTTTAATGTCTGTGTCGCTGCTGCTGCTGCTATGATGGGTCTATGACAATTCTCCATGGCCAACTTGCCACGGCGAACTCGCCATGGCCAACTTGCCACGGCCAACTCGCCATGGCCAACTCGCCACGGCCAACTCACCATGGCCAACTTGCCATGGCCAACTCGCCACGGCCAACTCGCCATGGCCAACTCGCCATGGCCAACTTGCCACGGCCAACTCGCCATGGCCAACTTGCTACGGCCAACTCACCCTGGCCAACTTGCCACGGCCAACTCACCCTGGCCAACTTGCCACGGCCAACTTGCTATGGCCAACTTGCCACGGCCAACTCACCATGGCCAACTCGCCATGGCCAACTTGCCACGGCCAACTCACCATGGCCAACTCGCCACGGCCAACTCGCCATGGCCAACTCACCATGGCCAACTCGCCACGGCCAACTCGCCACGGCCAACTCACCATGGCCAACTCACCATGGCCAACTTGCCACGGCCAACTCGCTGTGAAACAAGAGTTAAACTAATGTCAAATGAATAGTGAATAATTAAAGAAAGGATGCAAAAGGAGGGACAGAATGAAATGTGAATGGTATGATGTCAGCAGTCTCCAAGATGCGAAGAACATAAATACCCCTTCTTTCGTCTGTTCTCACCTTATCGGCCAGTTTTCCAGCAGTCCGAAGAGAAAAGCTCTAGGAATTCTCTTATTTCTTGATTGTTTGACAAAGTTCCTGCTCCTGGTTTGGTTGGACGGGAACTGTGTGACAGATTCTCTCCTAAGAGGAAGTTTGAGCAACTTCTTTAACTCCTCACTTGGAAAATACTAACGTTTGTTTTACACGCAAGGAGAATGTAGAGAGGTCTCCCAGATCCACGTTGGTTTAATTTAATTAGTTAATTACACACTAATTAATTCATCTGTTTAATTACATGGTGAACATGCAACGAATCCTTTTAGACAATGGGTAGAAATGAACAGAAACCCCGTGTCTTGGCATGAGATGGCAGTTGAGAGTTGCACAGAAAAACATATTTTTGTTAAAACGATACAGTAATGATAGAAACTGCAACCAATTAGATCATATGCACTTATTTATATGTTCACCTCCTGCATACTGAATTCCATTTGTGCCTGATTTCTGTTCTGTAAGCTACTGGGAGTATCCTTGGGAACAAGCATTTTGTCTTGCTGCTTTTTCAGTAGTATAGGTGGTCCTCAACTTACAGCCAGTTGCTTAGCGACCTTTCAAAGTTACAATGGGGGGGGGGGAAGGTATTTACAACCTGGATTCAAAGTTCTGATGGTCCTGCTTCCACCACCACCACATTTATGGCTGTTTGCAGCATCACATGACTGTGTTTTTACAACAGATTAGCTGAAAACCAGCATTTACTTCCATTTTGTTTTGTTTTGTTGCAAAACTGGTCCTTCGTAAAGCGGGGTTTTGCTTAGCAACAAAAATTCTGGTCCCATTTATTGAGGACTTCCTGTAATACAAAATTCTGCGCTGGCTTCCAGTAGGCTTCCAAATGCAAGGTGTTGGTTTTGACCTATAAAGTTCTATACGTCAAAGGATGCTCGTAAGCACGTCTTCTCCAGTTTGACATGCTGGCTAACCTGTCCATACTGCTTGGGAGGAGATGCTTCAGGAAAATCCCGCAGTTCAGGAACTGGAGGAGGCATCAGCCCCAAAGCAGGGATTCTCTGTGGTTCTAGGCCTTTGCAATGTTGCTCCCATTTTGCATGGTTTTACTCTTTTTAACATTGTAAGTCACCTCGTGGTGACCTGGTCGGCAAACAAATTTAATAAATGATAGATAGATAGATAGATAGATAGATGGATGGATGGATGGATGGATGGATGGATGGATGGATGGATGGATGGATGGATGATAGGTAGACAAGATAGACAAGAAAGACAGACAAGATAGATAGATAGATAGATAGATAGATAGATAGATAGATAGATAGATAGATAGATAGATAGATAGATAGATAGACAAGAAAGACAGACAAGATAGATAGATAGATAGATAGATAGATAGATAGATAGATAGATAGATAGATAGATAGATAGACAAGAAAGACAGACAAGATAGATAGATAGATAGATAGATAGATAGATAGATAGATAGATAGATAGATAGATAGATAGATAGACAAGATAGACAAAAAAGACAGACAAGATAGATAGGTAGGTAGACAAGATAGACAAGAAAGACAGACAAGATAGATAGATAGATAGATAGATAGATAGATAGATAGATAGATAGATAGATAGATAGATAGATAGATAGATAGATAGATAGATAGATAGATAGATAGATAGATAGATAGGTTAGGTAGGTAGATAGATAGATAGACAAGAAAGACAGACAAGATAGATAGATAGATAGATAGATAGATAGATAGATAGATAGATAGATAGATAGATAGATAGATAGATAGACAAGATAGACAAAAAAGACAGACAAGATAGATAGGTAGGTAGACAAGATAGACAAGAAAGACAGACAAGATAGATAGATAGATAGATAGATAGATAGATAGATAGATAGATAGGTTAGGTAGGTAGATAGGTAGGTAGGTAGGTAGGTAGGTAGACAGACAGACAGACAGACAGACAAGATAGACAAAAAAGACAGACAAGATAGGTAGATAGGTAGACAAGATAGACAAAGACAGACAAGATAGAGGATGGATGGATGGATGGATGGATGATAGATAGATAGATAGATAGATAGATAGATGATAGATAGATAGATAGATAGATAGATAGATAGATAGATAGATAGATAGATAGATAGATAGATAGATAGATAGATAGATAGATTAGATAGATAGATTAGATAGGCAGGCAGGCAGGCAGACAGATCAAACTTCCCCACCTTAGACGTATGTCAAAATGTATTGAAAATATGGCTTTTCTAACTGACCTTTGGAAACCAGTATCTATAGTTTGCTTTTTACAGTTGACAGTGGAGAAGTTTTCAGTTTTACTGATACGTTTAGAATTAGTATGATGCTTAGGGTTTTTTCCATTATTTTTAGATTTGTAGGCCACCTCCAGATACGTAATTGTGGAGATTGAAATACTATAAATTGAAAAGCAAAGAATCAAGTAAGCAGGGCCAAGATAAAGCCTGAACTGATTTACATTAACATAATTACTCCCCAGGTATGCAGTACGCTCCCTCTTCTGTCACATTAAGTCTTACAGTTGCTTTGGGAGTTGTGCGTGATTCTTTGTCAAGCATGTACCAAATAAATCTGCAGAAGCAGGGTATCCGCAGGGAGATCAAAAGACTGCCTGTTTTTACCGTAGTTCTTTGCATGTGCAATTTGTGTTAAAAAGGAACAAAGGATACAGCTATGCAATCACGGTCACCATCTGTGCATATACCTCTTCAGAGAAGTAGCCCTTTTGATCCAAGTGTGTTAGCCCTGCTGGGCTAAGTGCATGTAGCAGTTCAGTCCTCCCTGACAAAATGGACGGAAAAGTTAGAAAAAGCAGAATTCTTGCTTACTAATACTTCCACATCTGATGATCTCCAACGGTTCTCCCTAATCATGTTGGCCATGGAACATACATTCCCTATGTTTGTCCTCTTTTGGTCTTCTCCGTTGGCTCCTACAGATCACAAGCCCAAATCCAGCAACTGTCTTCTCACTTCTCCTCTGTTCCTCCTTTCTTGTCATTTGCAGTTTGTTTTGTGCAGAAAGAGAGAGAGAGAGCTTTAATTATATGCATTTTAAAACAAAACTATTTTTCTATTTTTAGGTTGGAAGATCAAACTAAGAAGCTACAAAAAGATATGAAGAAAAGCACAGATGCAGACCTAGGTATGTAAATCTGCTGCACTAAGTGGGATTTGAGCCAATTTTGATTTTTTTTCTCCTAGGCCCTTGTTCTGAAGTGCATATTTAGTCACAGTTCATTAAGCCTCTGTTGAGTTTTTTCACTGACCAAAAGTCCCCTTTTATTTTTATTTTTTTAAAAAGTCTTAAATTATATTTTACAAACAGATTAGCCCAAAGGAACAGCAAATACTTTCCAACAGCCTGTAAAAGAAGAATTATCCAGAGAATTCCTGATTAAGGCTGGATTTAACTTGGTTTGGACACTGTGATAAGCGTAGGAAGCAGCGAGTAAACTGGCAGCCATTTCTTTTGTTTGTTCTTTTACTACTGACACAGCTGTTTGCTTCTGAGATTTTGGAGAGGAACATCTGGACTCCAGGTGTTGATTTTCTTCTGCCCTTTTGTCCTTTTTTGTGTTGTATTCTGTGGCATTTCCAGTAGGAACCCTGTTGCATGCAATCCCGTCCCATCAAACATGGCGTCTAAGCAAAGTGAAAAGGAGAGAAATGCAAATAAAGAGCTAATTAAGGGCCCTAATGATGGAAATAGCTCAGGAACTTTTTACAACTCTTAAAGTCGACAATAGGTATTTTGCTGTAGCTGGAGATTGTAGGAAACCCCCCCAAAATTATACTCGTATGTTCCTCTGATCCTAAAAAGTCCTCGGTCTTCTTTGTTCTGGCATTATTTTGAAGATAAAATTAATGCATTACCAGGGCGAAAGCCAGCCAAGAACGAAATGAAATGAAATGAAATGAAAAGGCCAGAATGAGGGGGAAATGCACATTTTTCTCCTAGAGGGGAAAAAAAAACAACAGGTTTTTGTCATCAGTGAAACCATAAATGTCTTCCCTAAATGAGAAAGTGAGAAACAGTTTTAAACTTTTGGGATAGTTCCCTGTTTGCTTCCTAATAAAGGATAATAAAAGGATAAAAACATTTAAATAAATTCAGTTTTCTTTGGTTTTCTTGAAAACCCAAAAGCTTACGAGTCTGATTGTTTATGTAATTTTCTGCACAGCAGAATTTGAACTTCTTTCTGGTTCTGAGTTGCAGTTGTAGTAATTCTACTAACCACAGAGCAACCATCTGCACCATCCTGGCTTTAAACATGAAAAACTGGTTCTCTGCTTTTCCTCATAAATGGAGGTAGCAGTAGCCCCCAAATTAGGAAGGATTTTTTTTCTTTCCCTTATTTCCTTCCTTCCTTCCTTCCTTCCTTCCTTCCTTCCTTCCTTTATTCCTTCCCTCCCTCCCTCCCTCCCTCCCTTGCAGAGAATCCCTTTTCCTTCTTTTCAAGGGGCATTGATAATGGATCAGGCCCCAAAGGATTTGTGGGCAGATGCTTCCCCCAGCCTACTCCTTCAGCTCCGAAGCATCATCACAAGTTTACCTATTTTACGACCTCAAAGCCACACCTTATTTTGCATTTAAAGAGGTACCATCCTGCTCTCTGGAGCTGGGGCAACCATCTTCTGTTGGGTTTCCAGAAACTGGAAATCCTCAAATCTGATCGAAAGGGGTTAGACGACAAATGCATCCAAGCCCCTCCTCCCTTATAAATAATTGAGAGATGTACCAATGTAAGCTGCTCATCTGCCTGTCATGGTTCCGACAAGATCGGAACATCTGCTAACATCGGATGTTCTTGCCTTGACGCTGCCTTTGCCAGAGCCGAGAATTGTGACAGAGACTCCATTCTGTTGTCTCTTCCGTACTCTTTCTACTAGTGTCATCCATTTCCTAAAGTCATCATTGATGGAAGATTGATCATTTGATAGAACATAGAATAATGGAGTTGGAAAGACCGTGGAGGTCTTCTGGTCCAACCTTCTGCTCAAGCAGGAGGCCCTCTACCATTTCAGATAAATGGTTGTCCAGTCTCTTTTTTGAAAGCCTCCAGTGATGGAGCATCCACAACCTCTGAAGGCAAAGCTATTCCATTAGTTCACTGTCAGGAAATTTCTCCTTAGTTTTAGGTTGCTTTCTCTGCTTGGTTAGTTTCCAACCATTGTTTCCTGTCTCGCCTTTTGGTGCTTTGGAAAATGATTTGACCCCCCTCGTCTTTGTAGGGTCACCGTTGGTTCAAATCTCTTGCTCCTGCTTCTCTCAGCAAATAAGTAGCGGTAGCCCTTGTTCAGCAGCATTGCTACATGAATCTGAGAAATAAATCCCTTAATTTCTGAAGGGTCTATCTCAAAATGACTGCAGGTCACAAAATATTATCCATTGAAGGCAAAGTAGTGAGAGTCCTCCCAGCCATCCCTTCTATCCCCCTGAGAATGTTCTCCCTATCACAGTGATGGCGAACCTTTTAGAGACCGAGTGCCCAAACTGCAACCCCAAACCCACTTATGCATCGCCGAGTGCCGGGTAGGTGTGGCCAATTGGGTGGGTGTGGCCGATTGGATGGGCGTGGCTGCGGTGGTAACGGCAGACTGGGTAGGACTAAAAAGTTCAATCAATCAGTTCCAATTTTGCAAGATCTTTTTTTTCTCCGCGAGAAGTTGAAATTGACTGATTGAACCTCTTTTTTTTTTTTGTACACGGTGGCGGAGGCCTAAAGCGAAAAGGTTTTATAAAACCCAGCTGAAGGCCTAGGACTGGGGCGACAGTGCGCGTGCCCACAGAGAGGGCTCTGAGTGCCGCCTCTGGTACCCGTGCCATAGGTTCGCCACCACTGCCCTATCACTTCATCCTACATCCCCCCCCCTTTTTTTTTCTGGATAGGTGGATACATCTGTACACAAAACACTGTGTTATAGCGAACTTTTACATTTGTTTCTTGGAACGTCAATAGAGCTAAATCAAGCTCAACAGTGGATTGGGACAGAGGTCTTGCATACCGACATCCCATTAATTTTAAGACATAAAACCTATCTTTAAAAAGTCTGAAGGGGCAGGAACCCAAGGGCACCCAGAAAGATGCACGAGTACACATTTATGCCATAGCACCCGTGAGATTTGAACCCATATTCTGTTAAAATTCATTGGTGCTCCTCGGTCCAAGCCTGGTTCTGGGAAAGGATGCTCCTGTGCTTTGATTCTGAGACCGTCCCCAGGACCAAAATGTTCTAAAATGTGGTTATAACACCTTAGTAGCCTAATGTTTTCCCGTATATAAATCTCAACTGCATTCGTTGGGGTTTACACCTTGCTAACTTTGCTTTGCCTTTATTATCTTGTCACAGCTGCCAGAGGATTTGATTTTTTTTTATTATTATTATTTTTTGTAAAACTACCGAAAGCTGCGAAAGCTTAATCGGTTGCGATTTGTTAGGTTTGAAAGCGCTGTGGTGAGACCAAGCAGCCCTTAACAGCGGCTGGGAAAATGCTGCCTGTGTTTGTCTAGCCACTTCTGTGTCTGCTTTAAAAGGAGCCTCAACTCGTGCACTTTGATAAATGGTGCATGTAAATAGTGTGGACTTGATTACACATGAGTGTTTATCCCGATGTTTACACAAATTCATTAATAGCTCTTCTTCCAAACCACCAGTTAGCGTTCCTGGATGTTTTCCCATTAGCATTTTATGCACTCTGGAGTGTGTCTCCTCTTTTATGTTTCAGCTTATTGTGTAGACGGGAGACAATGAATGAATTCCTGAAAAGCTGGATTATGAATCACTTGACCTATCACCAGATGAACTGAAGAAGCTAGCTTAAGAAAAGTAAAAATTGCTTTCCAGGCATTAGGCCGGCTGGCTCTGGGCAAAGAATAATTTTCAGACCCTTATTTTTACATTAGGAAAATGGAAGTATAATGGACTGACTGTGAGGGTGAATGGATACTTCACTTTTTACGAGGAAAAGGGCTGCGTGGGCATGTCTACCTCGCTCTAGGTAGAGCCTTATACGAATAACAATAAAATAATGGATACAATGCCAGTTAACGCAGAACTGTATTTTAGCCTGATGGGAAACGGTTACCATGAATCTGGGGCTCAGACTCTTTCTCTACTTCCTATACCAGCGGTTCTCAACCTATGGGTCGCGACCCCATTTGGGGTCGATCGACCATTTCACGGGGGTCGCCAAGCAAGGCTGTCCACCATTTTTTTTGTCCGCCATTTTTTTTCCCTTTTCCGGCGGGTGCCTTACCTCCCATGGGCTGGGCCAGCTGGTGGTCGGCCTGCCCCGTCTCTGCCGCTTGCCAGCTACGCCTCGGCCGGCGCAGGGGGCGGAACTACGCATGCGTGGCGCTCCCGGGCAGGGAAAGTCTTCGACTTACGACCGGTTGGGTAGTCCTCGACTTACGACCGGTTTAGTCCTTGACTTACGATCGGTTTAGTCCTCGACTTATGACCGGTTTAGTCCTCGACTTACGACCGGTTGGGGGTCGCGGCATTAAAAAGGTTGAGAACCACTGTTCTATACTAAGGTTTGCCAGGTCTGAGTTTCAAAAATGAGACCGCCAGTAGATGGCAGCGAGAAGACACTATGCTAACTCTTTGCTGCCCCCTGGCAGTAGTGCTGATTTTTGTAATCATGATCTCATAATATTTTTTGATGGAACTGTAGGATGATACAGTATTTAGAACCACAGGAAACACAGTTAACACGGAGCTGGGAAATACGTTTTTCCTGACAGGTGGAGTTATGGATCTCTGCCATCTTCCTTCCTCTTGTTCTCTTTAGAATGGACTAAGCCAGGGGTATAGGCAACCTTGGCTCTTTTATGACTCGTGGACTTCAACTCCCAGAATTCCTGAGCCAGCCATGCTGGACTAAGCCAATACAGCTCTGTGTTAACTGTGTTTCCTGCCTACCCAAAAAAATCCCCCATACCTGTTGCCTATCTCTTAATAGCATCGACCCTTCATTAATTTCTCTCTGAATTCTATCCCAAATATAGCCATGTCAAAGTCTGCTGTAAAAATCTCGTCTGATCTCTTGGCCAATCCTCTCTGTGAACAAGACCCTAAATTCCTTGAAATGGTGATGGCTCTGGACACCGCAATGAAAAGAATGGATTCTTTTAACCAAGAGAAGGTAAATTGTGCCCTGGATATATTCCTAAGGAGGGAAGGAAAAGTTCTCCAACTTCGACATCCTTAATTGTGAAGTTTTCCTTGATCTCTCCACAGTTCTTGTCAAGATTGTATTACTGACTTTATATTAGAAGATGTGTAAAGGGGTACAAATATTCATGACTGGTATTGTACAGTACCAGCAACTACACCAGAGCAGAGCTGTGTACGTATCTCTCAGGATTTTAAAAATCACTTAAAGTTATTACGGAGTGAAATTTGAAATAATGACAAAGAACAAAATAGGCAATTAATACTTAACAATTTGAGATTTAGAATAGTAATTGCCATAGAACAGTAATTCTCAATCTGTGCTTCTCGGGCTGGAGTTTGCAGCCAGGTGAATTTGCACAATTATTACATGTAAATCAGAACTTCCTGAATTTAATAGAGTTGAAATAATTATTTTGGCTTATCTCTTGTGGGTGGCACAAGCTATATGAGTCCAACTTCTGTCGGTGTTCACTGAGTTTGGTTGTTTTCTTGCACTGCTGATGTTATCTAGCCTGGTATTGAAATATCTGCAAGAAAACAATCAAACTCAGAGAGTAGTAGCAATGGTTCAACCCTGAACTTCATATGTTCTCTGTTGTTGATATTCAACTTTTGTCTTGTGTGCTTACTCATAACGGCTTGCTTGTTTTTTAAAATAAATTCATTAAAGGCTTTAAAAACAATGATAAAAACTAATACTAATGTAAAGTAAGAAGAAGAAGAAAGATCAAAGAGAAAGCTAAAAGCACAAGAAAGAAAGAAAAAGAGAAGAGCAAGAGAAAAAAATTCAAACAAGTGGCTTCCGATCTTCTTTATAGCAACTACCGGTATATAAGTATAAATATACCCCTTACTCTAACCTTGCAACGGGACTCTCTTCTTTCTAGTATCTATCAAATCCATAAATCATTGAGTTAATTTTGTTCTGTTTTACACAAAATGTACATAAAAGGTTTCCAGTCAGCAATAAATATAGATATTGTACTTTCTCTAATCAATGAAGTCTCAGCCAATTCCATCATTTTCACCAACCATTCCGCAATTGTAGATGTTGCTATATCTTTCCATCTTTGTGCACACAATACTTTCACAGCAGTTATCGTATACAAAAACAAAGTTCCACAACTCTTTTCCCCCAACTATTTGTCCATCATTCTGGCTCTTTATATTTTGGACTAATTTAAGATGTTATGTTATATTATGAAACACATTTTCGTAATAACAATCTCATATTATGAGCACCAAATATAATGAACACTGACAGAACTGGAGCAAGAGTAGATCCATTAAGAACCGAGAGAGAAACACCAGCATATTTAGAGGAACCTTTACATGTAGCTAAATTGTTTTTGTAAAAATCCCAACAACTAAAAGAAGCAAACTTCTGGTGAAGATTTAATACGCTCAGTAGCCACAGAATATTTAATTTAGCTAAAAATGAAAACATGGAAAGGGCAACCGAAGTGGAAAAGAATATACTTGGAAAACATGGAGTTGGGCATGAAGTTCCCTTGGTTCAAATCAGTGTTTCTCAACCTTGGCGACTTGAAGATGTCTGGACTTCAAATGATCTCCCTTGTTGGTTCTTGAGAATATTTCTTCTTTTTGTTCTTCTTCTTTTTTTTTTTTTTAAGAAATTTTATTTATTTTTTTCATCATAAAAAACAATCATAAGTAAACACAATAACCAATCAAAAACCCCCCCACCCCCCCACCCCGGACTTCCCAAACCTAATCCCAGGATAATATTCATATAAAAGTAAACAAATACTAATATCTCTAACTCCACAAAGTATCTTAATCTACAAGAAAAGATAGAAAGAGTAAACAAGCTTAAAAAAAATCTAGAAACCTAAATTATATTCTATCACTCTGTGTTTCTTTTGAATATAAACAATCCATCTTCTCCATATTGATAAAAATTGTTCGTTCGAATGGTTCTTCAAATAAGCCGAAATCTTTGCCATTTCAGCAAGATACGAAACTTTCAATCTCCAGTCTCCCATCGTGGGCAGAATTGGGCTCTTCCAATTTTGGGCTATCAACAATCGGGCAGCAGATAAACAATAAAGCATCAAATTTGTTTCTCTTGCATCTAAATCTTGTACAATACCTAAAAGAAACAACTGTGGAAGGAAAATAATCCTTTTTAAAAAAAGATTTTCTTTTTGTTCTTCTAACAGGTGAATCAAATCCAAAAAACAGTCATTGAACCTCTGAAAAAGTAAGTAGTGATGTTTCCATATAAGCAACAATCTTTTGCAATCTTTACAAATGAACATGATTTAACGAGAAACATGCTTTCCCTCAAGGCTTATTGGGTGAAACCTACAGCTTGTGAAATTCTGCAAATCCCAACTTGTGTTTAGAAAAACAACAAACCTGGAATTTCTAGCCTTCATTTTAGAGACACTATGCAAGCAAAATAGAATAAAAAATTAGGAGTAAGTGTACATAAAAAGAAAAAAAAAACACCAGCAAGATATTACAACTCTTTTGCTCATTTGCTGATAGATTAAAACTTCTTCCCTTATTATTTATTTAGCACATGGCATACAATGTCAGAGAAATTTGCACAGGCTAGACACACAATGCAGTCCTGACAGCCGAAATTGCTAGTTCATTTTGTTTGGCGCTTGCGTGCCTAACCTTGGTGCACCACAGAGGGCGAACTACATTTACACCAGTTAACTGGTGGCGTTTGGGTTGGGCTGCTCCGCTGGTCTTGCCTCGACTCGTTTTTTAATATCTCGTGTGTAGCCAGGTCCAGTCCCGGCTTCTGCTCTCCGCACACATGAATGTAGCTAGATTTTCTTCCCACCAAAGTGGTACCCATTTATCTACTTGCAGTATTGCCCGCTTTCGAACTGCTGGGTGAGCAGGAGCTATGGATCGAGTGACAGGAGCTCACTCTGTCTCACAGAGCCGGACTCAAACCGCCAGAGTGCAGATCATTTCTGCTGGCAGTTCCAGTGTCAATAAGTCACCGCATCCCCTAACTCAGAGGTAGGCCACCATGGCTCTTTTATGACTCGTGGACTTCAACTCCCAGAATTCCTGAGCCAGCCATGCTGAGGGGAAAGGGAGAGGTTTCCAAGCTGAGCCATGCTGGCTCAGGAATTCTGGGAGTTGAAGTCCACAAGTCATAAAGCGGCCTAGGCCTAGGCCAGAGGTAGGCAACCTTGGCTCTTTTATGACTCGTGGACTTCAACTCCCAGAATTCCTGAGCCAGCCATGCTGAGGGGAAAGGGAGAGGTTTCCAAGCTGAGCCATGCTGGCTCAGGAATTCTGGGAGTTGAAGTCCACAAGTCATAAAAGAGCCCAGGTTGCCTACCCCTGCCCTAACCTATTCCAAAAAGGTATTCAATGTAACGTTTTCTAAATGAAAGATGTAGTCGGCTTCATTTAATGAAAGTACATTTTTGTTAAAGGATTGAGTAAGTTTGAACAGATTTTGAAACTCGGTACACAGTTCATTCCCCTGCAAGCTATCCAAAGATATTTTATTATTTGTCAGGCTTAAAATGAAATCAGTCATTCAATCTCTATCTGCATGAAGTTCTTGGGTAGATGGTCCCATCTTTGGGGCCGGAGGTTGGGCAATCTAATTGCAATAAATTTATCAGCTTCCTGTTAGGAACAGCAGCCTTCTTCCTGAAACTGAAAAAAAAAAGTAAAAATATTCTGTTTAAAAGTGCATTTCAGCTAGGATATATTCAGATATGTAGGGTTTTTGTTTAATTACTGCAAGCCTGTGAGTTCCATGTTTTTTTTAATGCCATTAGCATTTGCTTGAGCTATAGGCAAGCATCCGAGGTTCTTTATAGAGAACTTCTATTACTACAATCAAATGATTGCAGAATTTTTTAGATTCGCTTTTTTTATTACAAGGAAGTTGGGTGAGCGAGAACAAAATGACTTTAATAAGACAGTGAGTGAGGCAAATTGCTCAGTAACACCTTTTGTTTCACTTGACATTTTTTTCCTGCCTCTAAATTAAACTAACATAGTCTAAGCAGTTAGGCTTATTGCCTGTTAGGAATGGATCAGGAGCAAGGTGGTTGAAGCTGGTCTGGAATTTTGTAGGGGTTTGTTTTTGTATCTTCCTCCTCCTCCTCCTTCTCCTCCAACCTCTGGGTTGAAACCATAGGCAGGTTTAGAAGCTTGCTAAACAGAATTTACAGAAAGCTCCAGCGTTCACAAGGGGACTTGTATCTAGCTTCTTGTCTTCTTCTTTGACTCTCTGGTGGTCTTCCTCAAGCTGATGTCCTTCAAATATGATGGGATTGCAATTTCTAGGTAACACAATCATGGTGGGTTAGGAATTTGGAGACCATCTTGTCCCCAGCCCCATATTTTAATGTGCTGTCAGTTTGAATATTTGATTCATATGGGAAGGCATTAAAACCAAACAGGTTTAAGCAGGCTGCATAAGTTGTAACGTAGAAAAATTGAGTACCGAATATGTATTTTTATTTGGGGTTTTAGAGTAAAGGGAAACTCTGTCTACATTTGCCCAAATCTGGAAAGGCAGGTACAAATGAAAAGGAATGGTTTGTAAAGCACATCTGGATGAGGAAACTGTAGCTTGCTGAGAACCATCCTGCAGATATAGCCAAGGTTCCTGGTGATCTCTGATCTAGGAAACATTTTTAGCTGGTTGTGTGAAAAGATAAGAGCCTGTAAGATCTCTGAAGGGACACTTATAAAGCTTCCTATGGCTTTCTTTATTGATTAGGACGTATGATTGCTCACTGAAAGTAATTTCTGATTAAGAAAAAGACATCACACACACCCCAAAAACAACAGCCCCCACTGTAAACGGACTGCATAGGAAACACATATATTATATTTTTGTAACATCTGTCTTCTGTTTAAAATCGGCACATTTTGTCTCTCTGCCCATACATATCCTCCATGTGCGGATACAGTAAAGAATTACAGCATGCGCCTATGAGAGGTAAATTCTAACTGGATGCGCTAATTGCTGAGTTTTATTGCGATGGGCCACCTAGCCAGAATGGCTAGCCACTTCCCTGCCCTGGTTTTGTGGGAGGTCTATAAATCCTAGAAGTTCTCAAATCTGAAACCTAATTCCCTTTGTTTATCTCCAGAGTCTGTCTTCCTTCCTTCCTTCCTTCCTTCCTTCCTTCCTTCCTTCCTTCCTTCCTTCCTTCCTTCTCCCTCCCTCCCTCCCTCCCTCCTTCCTTCTTTCCTTCATATCTTTGGTGATTTTTCCTCTTTCAATTCTCATGTTCAGCTCCCTCCAGTCCCCCACATTCTATCCAAAATTAAGAGATTACAGAGTCATAAAAAGGGAGAATTCTCGTGTTTCTCTTTGCTTTGTGATCTTGCGTGGCGGGGGGGGGGGGGCAGACAGGACGGCCACGTGTTTGCATTTGAGTTGACTGCTTGTTGCATCAATGGATCAGGAAAGAGGAGGGGGGGAGGCTAAAGAGTGTAGTCATCTCAGCACCCATTTTGAAAAAAAAGCTGCCAAGCTATTTATCTGTAGTTCTTCCACCCAACACCAGATAGGTCAGAAATGAATGAGAATGACCTTTTTTTCCCCCCTCTTTGTTTTGTTTTGGTTTTTTTTTAAATTAGGCATTGCTTTCCCCAAAGGAGCTTCTCCTCCCGAGCCTCACCCAGGCTTCCCGTGGCCAAGACAGGATTTTTAATTCCAACAGCTGCATTTCATTATTCCCCTTCAGTGGTGGTCCATAGAATTTATTAGGGTTTTTTTTTTTAAAGATCAATGCAATTTGGGCCATTATCATTAGTGGCAATGCAGCCTAACCAGAATCATATGCCAGAATCAGATTCTCTCTGCTCTGGTGCAGCACTCAAAGCTCCAGGAGGTACTTGACCCGTCTGGAGAGCCACACGGCTTTTGCTGAAAAGCCACAACAGTTGACTGGCAGGCCCAGCTTCTCTAACCGTGATCAGAGACCGTTCTTACTCATTTAAGTTTTTAAATGAGAATGTTCTCTTCTCCGCCCTGTAGGCTGAGCAAAAGAGAGCTGAGGGAGGTTGAAAATTGTCCCAGCTGATTCGGTCTACTTGAATCTAAAGTCAGCTACATGTTGGTTCATGCCAGGGCTCCTCAAACGTGGCCCCTTTAAGACTTGTGGACTTCAACTCCCAGAATTCCCCAGCCAGCATGGCTGGCTGGGGAATTCTGGGAGTTGAAGTCCACAAGTCTTAAAGGGGCCACGTTTGAGGAGCCCTGGTTTATACTGCAACTTTCAGCCCCTCCATTCTCCCAAGATGGATAGTGCGGCCACCAGGTTTACAAGTGAGCCACCCTCTGATCCTGTGGACAGCAAATTACCTACAGGTGGTCCCCGACTTACAACAGCTCATTTAGTGACTGTTAATGTCACTGAAAAAGGTAACTTAACGATTGTTTTTCACACTTCGCCTTTTGACAAGCAAACTCCACGGGGAAGCCAGATTCTCTACAGTGATTCATTTAACAATTGTTTGTAAAAAGGGGCAAAACTCGCTTAACAATTGTCTCGCTTAGCAACACAAATTTTGGGCTCAGTTGCGGCCAGTGCAGCCTTCTCTGTGGCCTCACAAAGAATTCCAAGAGGTGAAGTTTAACAAATTTGAACTGCCAAGTTGGAGGCTGTTGTGTAATCTTCTTGCTGTGCTTGCCTTTGCTAGAAATCTTGAGCCTGTCTATTAAAATACAAGCCTCCTTTTTCCTTGGACTCCCTCAGAAGCTATCCCTTTTCCATTCTGCTACCTTTTTCTTTTTAAAAAAAATATGTTTATTGATTTTTAACATACACCTTAATATTTGGCAAACATCGTGTTGTCTGGGTTAATGTTTAGAAAACAATGACAATTAATTTCTATAATTCTATAGTCCATATCATAGCTTTACTTGATTTCCTCTTCTTTCAGTAATATTTTCCTTTGCCAACCTTAAACTAATACAATTCTTATTTAAATAAACGACAATTAAATAGAAACATTTTTCTCATGTTTCTGCAAATAATATCCACCTCAGTATAAAGCTTCTTCTCATTGATCCTCTCGATTGCCTCATCATAACTCCTGTTTACATTCTTATTTAAATTTGTTTTCTCCACCATATTCAAAACATTCTTACTGGTTAAGATTTTCTCAAAATTAGTTAATACTTAAGTATTTAAATCTTTTTTCTCATACAGGCCATCCCATTTTGACATTTCTCATATTTTTTTAAAAAAA